CCAGAGGGTGTATAGATATAGCGAAATATAGGGAGTAAAGGTGCTTTAAATATGCAGAGTAAAATACTCAAAGGGGCGCACACGAGAAAAGCTATGGAGCGACGGTACACGAGCGCGAGAAGTCGGTGAACATTTCGAGGCTCCTAGATAATCCGTCGAGCTTGATCCCTTCACGCTTTGCACAAGGAATATCAGAACAAACGCTGGTCCAGCCTTCAGAAATGGACATGACTGGCCATGGCTTTATCCAAAGCCTTGTGACCGATTTTTATTCCGTTGGGCTAGAAAATTACTTTGACGATTACTTGATCTAGGTCAATAGTTTGGAGAGATTGTTACGTTGTGGTTACCAGTACCGAGTAAATTCCATCCACTCTTCAATGATCATGAAATGATGCTCGGCAGAGCCTTAGAGCTTACCAGGAACTAGCAAGGTGCCTAGACCGAGTGATACACCTAGATCAGTGAATCGACGACTGGACGTCAGACTATTTGGGTCAGGCTCTTGTTGGTTCCCGGATGAGGTCAGCACTAGGGGATAATCCCCAATAGACAACAATAGTCATTAGTGTATCGAACACATACGTGTGGCCGTATGATGATCGGTTCATCAGACAAACTCGGTGCTTATCCCGTCTGGTTTCCATTCTCGAACCTGTCATAAAGGTGAATGGATTATTCAAGTTATATGCACCTCAGTGCACCCAGTCAAGCTTTTACCATAGCTGAAGAACTGCTGAAGTAATTATGGTGTTATGAGTTTTAGGTGAAGGGAATGCCATATCTCAAATCTTCAGATAGGGCCTCTCTTAAGCAACCCAAGCGAGAACCAAGACTCTCAAGTACAAACAATCTCGTCGCAAAATTACCCTCATCTCACGGAATAGTGCTCACTCATCCTGCCATACGTATTTCTACTGACATCGCATAGCGGATGCCGCGAAAAGTCTTGTGGTTCTTCCACCAGGTGTACGAAAACCCAAGATCAGACTTGTGCGACACGAAGATGGGGCTTCACTCTTGCAGAAAATGAATGCCTCGGGTGAAATAATAAGGGAGAAGGCAGCCAGCAACGATGAAGCTTTAATAAGCTGCGAGGCTCAATTTTGTTAACCTTTAACTACGAATTAAATAGCTGTCCTGTTTTTTTTCGCCCTCTTTTTTATTTTTTCATTAAAACAGGAACAATGGAGACACCACCAAAAAGGTGGTGTCACGGTACGCCAATATTGGAATTCCTAGCAGAATATCATAGATTGCACGTTTGTATATGTGATGCTCATACTCCACATGACTAAATCACCACGAGAATAATCAAGCCACTTTGACGCACAGAATAACACAGAATTCCATGGACTCTGGTGCACCTTTACCAGCTCTATACATTTCCAAATATCTCTATGTGAAAATTGTCAACGTGGACTGGATACCAATGATGAGTTAGGAAAAGGGCCCCAGTGTATGGTTATTCTGCAATGTTATTCATACGGAATAGGTTACTTACTTGGCTTTGATGTACACTTGGGCAACGCGTCATTATTCAAAACTGCTGCATTAACTTGTGCGGACATATGAGAGCTGCTACAGCACCACATCACTATGAGCTGCAGAATGAAAAATTAAAGTGGATAACAGGGATGCGCTCGTGCGAAAAAATAACACTTGAATCCACGTGTTTTCCGCAATTAAATTCTGACGAACCAACGAGTATCATTACAAACAAATATGCCCACGCATATCTCGTGTGACAGTCATAATCGGAGATAAACGATCGAGTGGAAAGTCATGCATAGAACAAAGCGAATTTGATGAACGGGCAATCAGGTAGGAGAGGATTGACTGACCGCATCATCTCCCTATGAATTCAAGCGAGGCAAATCAAAGTGCGACTCTGTACCAAACAAAGGGATTCCCCCGTAAGTACATTACCAATCATCCGCGTCTCTTTGACCATTGTACCACGATAAAGTATAAATTGTATAACTTAATCAGTGGAGAATGCACCCTTTGAAATTCCCTTATGCAAGATCCTAATGCATTTGAATGTTTTATGTGCTGTCGCATAGTTTTTGTCCGAATCCACACCGAAAAAAAACTAAGCAGCCTAGAAGTACCTCGAAAACAAAGCCCGAACATACGAATGTCAAAGTCACCGTGCGGTTTTGCGGATATGCGGTTTCTCAGCGTACTCACCAACATTCTGGACTTGAACAGAGTGCCTTGGTCATTGTGGTCAGCATCCCTGTCGATCTAACTCTCACCAAAATAAAACTTCATTAATTAAGAAAAGTCTTCTGACGGACATGCACACAAAGAAAAACACTTTTTACTCCTGGAACAAATCCCTTAATTCCACGAACTCTCCTATCATTTTCTGCGAGGGTCAAATTTCACGGAAATTTTTTAGTAAAAATATCTTGGAGCTGAAGGGAGACAGAGAAATTTTCAGAGATCCATCAGCTCTCCCCCTTCTCTTTGATAAATGTTATATTAAAATATCACTGTCTTTCCACGATTAGATTAAAATTATCAGAATTAATCATAATTAGAATTTCTCTCTCGATGGAAGTGAAAAATATCACTTTCCTGTGCGCATTATGGATAACGTAGGAAAATGTGAAATGTGTGTAACAAAACCGTAGGAAAAATTTGATAATGCATTGGTCAGGAAGATAAATCCGCATAAACTGGTATTTGTCGGGCAGGAGATGAGGCTTTAGTTCTATAATTCAGTGCGTTCAAGTCCATGGAGAAAACCCAGGGCTGTTAGCAACACGGTAGCCGCGAGGGTTTCTATGATATTGTTGACGTACACCTATCCAAATGCGATGTAACCTCGTCACACTGGCCCTTCCGCATCCCCTGTTAAAACTGGCGTACGTCAAAACGCGGAAATACGCTCTATTTCTAACAAAGTTGCGAGCAAGCTTCAACGTCTCGCGGCTATCATTTCAGTTGGCACTGATGCATTACCCGTTCTTAAGCTTCAAACATTTTACTACTCACCATATGTTAAATCATTACCACAGTTAAACTACGCAGCCTCGAAAATTCATTTGGAAAATCGATAGATAGTGGCCGCCATGAAATATAAAGCAAAGGTCTATGTCCAATACACGACCGCAGGATATTAGGTCAAGTAGAGGGGAAAAATACCAACGGGGGAGCGACAATTAACCTCCCTTCCGCATCGAATATACCCGTGAACTCACTGATGCATGAAATATACATCATGTGTGTATTGCGATATTATGCAGGAATGACGCGCTACTTTTTTTCAGATAAAATCCGTGAGTTGCTGACGAATAAAAATTACTGCTGTCTCGAGTGAAAATAATGGAGATAACTGAAATGCCTAAGAAATTAATTTGACGTAAATAAATTTGATTGTCAGAACTAATTGATTAATCCACTGTACACCGCGGATAATTACACCTCAAGTGGAAAAACTTGAAATTTTTTAAATTCTCCATTGATGAATCATTTAATTTTATTTAATTCCTGGAATATTGTGGTGATTATCAATTTTCAGGTGAACGCGGCACTGGAAAACCGTGAAAATGTTGAAAATCCAAGTAATACTATCCCGGAATTTTGAATCCCTTATTAAAAAATCACTAATTATTCAATAAAATAAAAATATAAAATAAAAAATGAAAAATAAAAAATTTGAACATTGTACCATGAGACATGCACTTGCTGGTGGCACCGCAGCTCCATGTAAATATGAAAACTGGTGATTTCTCACGTCCTTGGAAGATTATCAAGATCATCCAACAGAAAAGAGGAGTAAATTGTGGGGTGGTGTGCATGTGAACGAATTCTCGTCTAACGTTAGTGCTCTAGTGGCATGAGACAGGCATAACGAGAGGCAATTTTTGCTGCGGCGAACAATATGTCGCATTAGTGCATTGTGTGAGACTCCGGTAGCTGCTATCATGCGAAGCTCGTGGGCTTGTATCGCCTGCCGTAATCGATGCTTGATTTGCATCGACAGAGGCCAGAGGACGATAAATTCGTCGTGCACAACGTTCAAGTCGATTCAATGCGTATCTTCATTTGAATATTTAGCTCGGTATTTAAAAGCACAGATAATTGATATGATGAAAAATAAAAATATTGGTAAAAAGTGTGCTGTGATCCCCTCGGGTTAGCTCCATCGCCGGGGAAAAACAATTATTGAATTACAAGGTAAACATAGTCTCGGCCATCATCAAAATTATTTACCTATGCAAATCGTCAATCAATGGGCACAACCTCGTGTACATCGTCCAATGTAGAACAGGACACGCGAGAAATGTACGCATGAACGCCAACGGTTGACCTCCCTGGGGCCATTTAACGGGCATTCGTCCTTTCCGTACGACCGTATCCATTTTTTTCCACCCCACCTCTTCCCTTTGTACTCTCTGGCATTTTTTTTAAAACCCCCCGTCGTTCAGTTCTGAACTACTAGCCTCGGGTCGTAGCAATTCTATTGGTCTTTTTTGCACAACCCATACCTGCAAATTGCCTGGTCATTTTCGGGGCGAACTCAAATAGGGATGGCACATGCCTAGACCAGAGCTTCGATCGGTGTTGCCATCATTCGTCAATCAGTATTCAGTCTATAGGTAGTGAATTGAACTTTTTCCACCTGTTTTGTGTTCTTGTTTTTTTCTATTTCTTTTTGTTCCTTTTGAAAACAGACTATGGACTAAGTAAATAAAAGTCGGTGTGCCATTCATGCATAAATTCCACCTGATTCGAGCTGCAGTACTCGGTAAAATTGCCTAGACCACTCGTATATTTTTCCCACTCGGTACAGTGACGCAGTAAAGTCCGTGGTAACTGTAAAGTTTTTAATGCGATTACAAAGCGCGGTTATTAGTTTGAGTTTTGCCGAGTTTTGGTTGAAACGTTGGCTTCAACGGGGCTCTGTCATGTGCGTTAAAATGAATGCGCATTTATTCTGCTTTTGTAGGAGTGGGGAATTTTCAATTTCACATTTTTCAAATGGATTTGTATGTCGATCATGGCAATATCCTTTATTGCGAATTCTTCTAGTCAATAAATAATTCCATTCTATCTGTCTCTTAAATTATCACTATGTGAGAACAATTTTTTATGAAAAAGGAAGAGGATCTAGAAGAGGAGGCAAATAGCGTATAGGAGTATGATATACTGGAAAGAAATGCATTCGGAGTGTCCGGAAATTGCATTGGTGGAGTCCTCCTTGGTGACATCCTCAGCAGTATCGTCCTCGTACAGCTCAAAGAATAGTTGTTCCCTCGGCACGGAAACGTTGCCCATGAGACGATACCAGAAGTCCATTCTGATCGGCAGGAAGTAGCTTTCCATCGAAATATCCGGCGATCTCTCCATTCCTAGTCTCATGAATCGGAAATCCTCTTGATATGGCCTCCAATCCGGTGTTAGCTGTGCGGATGGTACTCTGTAAATAAATGAAGTACATCACCGGATAGCATTCGACAGATTGCCGGGAGGCTAACGAAATTAATCATTTTTTTCATAATTCCGAAAAATTCGATGAAACTGCAAGTCAAAGGACTCACCCCGTTTTTACAAATGTGCCTATCATCTCAGTCATTATGTGAATCATGGTGTCGTCTTCTATTGTATTAAACAGTTGCAGATCAGCCAACTGAGAGTTTAAAAAGGGAAACAAGTAGTTTATATCGTCCCCATGAGATACCCCTGAAAAATGTAGATATCAATGTTTCGGTTCCAAAAACGTAAAAATACGTTATTTCAAATGTTACCTAATTTTCGTGGACCGCCATTTTGCAAAGTCGCGGAGAAAGTGCCCTCGTAGGCAAACACATAGGAATAGATATTCGACTCCATTTCTTCGGCCTGAGTCTGCAAGGCTTCATGCGACCAATAGTAGATTAGCCCATCACCGACCAGCTTCAACAGAAGTTAGAGAATCCATCAAAGTACTCGATTGAAAGTTGGGAAAAAATAAAATATTCACCGCTGTTAAATTTTCAAAAAACTCGCTCGTGTCCGCATCGAATCCGTCAGGAAAGTAGAAATTCAGTAGCTCTTCGATAAATAGAGAAGTATTTGCCACGACTTCCTCCACTTCGAGAACTACTAGGATTGCATCATCGAAATTTTCGAGTAGAGACTCCCGCAAGGATTCATTGGAATGCAACACTTTTACAAGGAGAAATAAAAAGTTTGAATGAGTCAGGGAATAAAAGCTGGGGAATATCAATGGATCATACTTAATGTTTTGGATAGACCTTCTTCGGTGACAACCCCAGTCATCCAAGGAATGTCTCGAAATTCCTGATTTTCTATAATCGATTTCGGATTTCTAGTTATCAAAGCTTCATTACTTTCCGGTTCGAGTGTGGGACCAAAGGTTCCGTAGGGACTGCCGAACCATTCGTCCTAGACAATTCGTTTCATTCAATAAAAAAAAAGATAAAATAAAATTCAAATCCGAACGATAAAATGAAAATAAAGAAAAAACTTACGAAAAGACTCAGTTGCTTAGTGAGTTCATGCGTATTGGAATACCTCAAGCACTCGAGGATTTGAATATCGTCTTGAATTTCCTGAATCTCGTCAAACAACGTGTGCGTCATAGGGACGTAGGCTATATCCAGAATTTTTTCTCTGGTGGTGCAGTTCATCCCAACAGCAACCGCCAAGTACCTGATTCTTGCAATTCGAGCTGGATGCATAGCCCAGGGTGCGAGTGCTGATCCTGAATGAGTTATGAGCCGATGGAAGAGATCCTTAGTACGATTTGATAAAGCTAAATGATGAGCCAACGCTGCTCCAGCACTCGCCCCACTCAGAGTTACCGAATTCTTATCTCCACCAAAATCCTGAATATTCGCTTGGACCCATTTGAGTGCCTGGACAACATCCTTGACACCGTAATTGCCCGGTCCAGCCTCATTACCAGTACTCAAAAATCCTAGAAATATTCAACTAGTGATGGACAAATTTCATTGTTTTTCAAGACATCAGTTCTTGAATCTTGAAAAACGTATGAACTATTCTACTCTTAAGCTCAAAAGACTATTGGATTTAGTGCTTGAAAATTGTCAAGTAGAAAATTTAAAGAATTGAGAAAATACATTATTTAAAAAATGTAAAAAGTCAACAGTCACAAATAGACTCAGGAGCGCCGATTACTGCCTTAAATCACAAACGAACGTCCTTAAACCGAATCAGAAAAATGGAAAAAATCACCCAAAATTCCAAGTCGATAATTGACTGTTACGACTATGATGTCCTGATCCATGAGATAATCTGGCGCCAATTCAGTACTATTGTTGCTGCCAGTGATAAAACCCTCACCATGAATGAACACCAAAACGGAGAGTTTGGATTCATACGGAATCTGTGAATATCGCTAGTTGAATAAAACTTATTAAATTCACCCGACGTCGCCTACCATCTGCCTTTCTCAGGCTATTCCAAAATAGCCGTGTGTGAATGAATATCACGTTCACAACACAGACTTTATTTCACTACAGATTAATCCAACAAATTGTCCGACACATGATCATGACATTTTTGCATCAATTGCTCGATGACCTCGCTACATCGTTTAAGAGATCTAATTATTTTTTCCCCTTTTTATGTGTTAATTATTATTTTCAAGGCTTGAAATTTCTCGTGGACCTAAACTCTGATAGAATAAAATACGTACGGCAGGAACAAAAATATTTAAATAAAGACAATCCTCTTTTCCAATAATGTGGCCATCATCCGTCGGCTGAACACAAGGAGGTCCATCATCAACGGCATTGTGAATTTGCTTCCAATGGCCATTCCACTCTCGAGGATTCTTCATGAAATCGAGGCTTGCAATTAATTATGCAAATTACTTGATTAATCAATGGATCTGTACCTCAAAACGTAGCGATCCAATCGGTGGCTCTGCGTAGGGCACCCCCAGGTAGGCAGCAACAGCAACATTCCTAGCACTCCTCAACCATTTACCACGAATTGTACCGAATTGCGTATGAACGATTGGTTCAGTCACTGCTGCCTCTAGAGAAGATATCGCGAATAAAATAGACAGCAAATAAATACTCCACATACTTGGATAAATTAGAGTGCATTCAGAGCTACACTACTTCAATCACTCGCGACTGCTGATGGGCAACTGTTGCCTGGTCTAGTTATTCAGCTATTCCATACTCTAATTGACGTGGACGAATGAGATAATACTGCACTAAAAAATACTGACAACACGCCATTGAATACCCCGCATAATTATCCAATAGATATATGCACCGCATTTTATTTGGCTTTGGGAACCAAGTGGCAAATGCATATTTTTTTCAATTGAAACCATAATTTCCTAGCAGAATCATTGGTAATTACCCAGAAAATAAATGTAGGTCATGGTATGAAGTATTTATAGCACCATGTAATGCCGTTCTCCCCTGGTTCGTCTTACTCAGATTCCAGTTAGTAGTAGTCAACGATTAATGGTCAGCCAGATATGAACGCATTGGTTAAGTCGAACTCATCGGTCGTATCAGAAAAAGAAATCGGTATCGATCATCACTTGATTACAATCTTTGTCAATGTCAATGATAAATAATCGAAACTTTACTCATTTCCATTGAGATACGCACATTAATTCGGTATTGAGTAATTTGTCAATTGTAAATATTCTCAGCAATGGAAACCTTCTCCGTCGATTAATCATTGAAAATACAATATTTACAGTCGTCCAAAATTTTACTGATTGCAACCTCGTTAAAATAATTGGGAGACCGGTTGGTTACTCTGAGAATGGATTAATCTACTCGTAATTGAATATTCCTATTTTACAGAGAATCGGTCAGAATAATTAATCCCACGGAAATATAAGGATCAATGAATGATTTATGGGATTCCTGTTAAATGGATGATTGACTGTCCTCCGTCGACCAGGGAATATCGGATATCATGATTCTTATTGCAACTCAACTCCTTAAACTTTTGGAGATGTTCACTGTCTAGTCGGAAGCCTTTATTCCTTCAAGCATTTGTAACTCGACTGCTCCATTGAATTCTCGAGTTTCCACCGAGATATTTGAACATGTCGGTAAATTCTCCCCAGTTATTGGACTTGCACGATTTTCTGGAAACATTAGCTTCTGGAATTTTCTCCATTTTACTTATGAAATTCTCCGAGTTATGAATGTGTTATTCGGATTTATTCATATGAGACGGGACAGTTGAGGATATTCCAGGAATATTTTTCATTGATGAAATAAATTACCGTCGGGTAATTTCGGGTCCTCGGCTGCTCCGCCAAATATCCAGATGAGTTTTCCACCGATGTCATTGGTTGATCAAAGAATGAAGACATATAAATGTATATGTATACTAAGACGGGAAAAAAGGTCAACGAGGTAGCAAAATATCAATCAATGTAATTTTCAATTGCAATTTCAGGAGCAATTACCGGAAAGAGCTTAACCGAGTTTGTTGACTCGACTCGTCATCGGGTATCGTAACTATTCGGGGATTTAATTTACTTCCAGAGAGTCGAGGTGAATGATGCCTCTCGTGAACGATTGGATCGTGTGCACTGCAAACGGCACAAATTAATTCCATTTTCAGCAGCCACGTGTCCAGAGACTGTGGATTTACAACTCAATGGCAAAAGACTTGGCCGCTCGGTTTTATTTGGTATCAGTTTGCAAATTAATGCCGAGAGAGACTAGCCCTGAGTTCCAGATAACTCCCTGGGAGTAATATAATAATTAATTCGTTAATTCTGTTCTTTCGCAATTGGAGACCGGTTGAATGCGATAATGCATTATCATACAGATCGTAGATGGGGAAAAGAGGAATAAAATGGCTTGCAGCGGCTGCGATTTAATGAAAAATTCCATGCATCCGCGAGCGTTAACCGTACGTTCATCTCCAGAAGACCCGAGGGGGTAGTTGCGATGCCCCTACGCGCACATGCAACGTGATGCTACGAGCGTTAGACCGAAATTAAAATGGATGAGACGTGCAGTTCTCCCTGTAAATTAATGACCCCGGGCCTCCTCCGAGTTTTGTTTACTATTCCCTAAAGAATCAAAATGCTTTTGTACGCCCCTTCCGATCCAATTAGCTTTTTTTTTTCCACCCCACTTATCGATGAATCGGAAAATTCTCTCTCCCATCAACATTCAAAGGCCTTCATCTTTGTGTAACGCCTGCACCAGTGCCTTCGCACGTGCCGAGCATTGACCCGGTGCCATCCTCTATTTTCCATATTGAATGCAAATTTTCCGATGCAACATTCGATCAACCGAAAATCCCTATTCGGAATCACCCAACGTTCGTATCAACTTATCATGCAGAGTTGAAACGTCAAACTCTTGTGTTTTAGAGAATGATTTTTTTTTATCAATTTCTATTCATCACAGTGATATAGCACGGTATTCTACCGAGGAATTATGCAAACAGCAGTCACCAGGATAATCGCTTTCCTCAACAGTGCTTTCATTATTTGATGGATCGTCGTGCATACGGGAAATAATGCCGGTTTGAGGTTAAACATCAGGCCGAAGTAGGACAATCGATTCCGGTTACAGACGATGACGACCACATAATAATTATTTTACGTCTCTCGTGGATAAAAAAAATAGACATGGTAATTGTCAACCTCGAATCGCATAAACAACGCCGCAGATTGATAAGTTCTAATTTTCACTACTTGACAATTCCATTAAAATTGAAAACTTTTTAAATAATTTTCAGAGCATATTGCATTTGGCTTTTAATCATCATTATTGTATTACGATATATAATTGTATTATGAAAGCTAAAGGAAGCGGATTGTCAATATTATATTTTAATTAGTTAAACACGTTATGTCCCAATTTTTCCAAGTAATGGAAATCAGTAATTAGGGATTAATTCTTGGGAATTGAAATTTTTTTCTGTAAAGGGATAGTTCCAGTTTAATACGCATGCATAACTGTACGTGACGACGTGAAGGCGCCGCCCCTATAATTCCATATTGTGGAAGGTGAAATAATCTTCCCACACGAGAGAGAAATAACAAACCGGTAATAACAGAGACAGAGAGAGAATCGCGGAAAGGGAGTGGAAGTCAGTGCGCAGAAAATCACTTTTCACAGTCATAAACGCGTAGTGTTTATCTTTCATTCGTCGAGATAGATGCCAACGTTGGTGGTTATCCGATATCTCTGTCTCCCGTCCAATCGATTCAAAATGTGAGCCTGCGAGTTGAAAGAGCTTCTTGAGTTATCGCTAGACACCTGCCGATAACATCTTCGAATACAGGAGCTGGTGGTGGTGGGCAATAGCAAATGTACAAGTCTATAGTTCCACCAGGCAGGAAGTTGAGAGGAAATGCACTAGAATCTCGAGCGGAATAACTGGAAGATGTTGCGATTATTTTTCTAAACAGATAAAGGGAGTGAAATACCAGTAGATCCATATCTACTGTTACACTTCATACCGATAATTATGCCAAGTCATTGAATAATGATGTCCGTAATTAGTTGGGGCATTTGTAATGAACCCGGCGCACTTACCACAAATCCAGAAAATGGGGGGAAAAGACGGAGAATAAAACCTGGAGGGAGAAACTCAAGTCGTATGTGTGAGTCTCTCATGAACATGCCTTTTCTTTTACGTCTCTCCACCCTTGTACAGCAACAGCCATTGCTGAACAACAATATGACGCATGAGAACTCTCCCTCCTGTTGCTCCCACAGGGATCCTCACGCTTCTTTCTCCTATTATTATGCCTGTGGGTTCTCAACTCATTTCCTTTCCACCGCACATTAACGCCAAATTTGATTTGTGTAAAATACGTGCTTTCATCAATATCCTGAGATGGCAATTCTTCCAAATAATTTATTTTCAATATCGAATTAAAAATTCCCCTCAATTTATTTCATACGATCTAAAGATATATCGCCCCACTACTTGTCATATCTTCCATTTTTTTTTCGGGCAAACTTCAAATTTTATCCCCCTGTCATTGAATAATGATTTTGATAATTTTTCCGATTCGATATGCGATATGCTAAATAGAAGGACCCTCTGTTCATTTTATATATGAAATGATTGTTCATATTTATTCGCTTTTATAGCCGTTATTTAACACGATTTAACAAATTTGCCTCAATAACCGAAACCTCTAAATCACCAATATCCAGCTCAAATATTTGACAAACCTGCTAAACCGTTAAATCACACTTATCTCCTTCTCCCACTCTACCATTGAATTTAATTACCACGGTGCCACAGTATCGAATACGCAACAAAGAGAAAAGTGGCTAGCAAACCGCGTAAAAACTTCCGAATCCCCTGAATTCTTATCCTCTCACGATCGTAAAATTCTCCATTTGAATTTCGCCACAGAGCACACCCCACGTCGTGGCAATTTCGTTTCTAGTATTTCATTTCTGCAGTGACGATCATTATCGCAAAATACTCAGCCCCATTGCAAGTGATTATTCACACGATATCCAGCGAATTGCAAGTTGGAGGAGGAGCACGTGTATGTGGGTATGACGGGAGACAGAGAGGAGAAGAGGATAAAAGACTTGAACGGCGGGAATCATACCGATGGAACGTGGGAAAACGAGTCATCCCGAGGATAACCGACGCTTACGCTCGAGGATTCACGAGAAGGGACGAGGAGCGACGAGGAGCAACGAGGAGCGACGAGGAGTAACGAGTAAGAACGAGTCAGTAGTATTCAGCCGTTGCCCGCCGTTGCCGTGTAACCCTCCCTTCCCTTTTAATCGAGTGAGACAGTACCGCAGTGTTTAGTATTTTCATCTCCCTCTTGTTCATCAGTGTATTCCCTCGGCACAAAACCCAACGGCTCTTCCGCCATTTCCCTGCCCTCCCCTTCTGAACCCCGCCAACCACCAACCGACAGCCTGCCGCTCTTTTCTACTCCCCACCATAAAATCGTGCTCCTCTGTTCGTCTCCCCCACCTGCCACGACTCGTGGCAAACTTTTAGCGTCGTTCTACTCGTGGCGTGCCTACAACTTAGCCGCATCTATTACGCGCACTTTTCATCGTCACGACAATATTCTTTTTAACAATTTTTTCCTCCAACTCTCCCTCACTCATTATTACTCTCTGTGCTGCGTTACATCCGATTGCCAAGTGAATATCATCACTGTATTTTTGTTAAAACAACGGAATATCAGTCAAGTTATATTTTTGAAATTACTACGTGATTGCATTGTTCGTTCAATTCGCCGGAAGGAGAACGGGTGAAGTACGTGTGAATTGTATGAATACCAGATTTTTTTTTTTGCAATTGTCTTGATAAAGGAGTGAATAAACGGTTTATGCAGGCGTGTCATAACCTCGAAAAGTTGAGTTGAGTGTAAGTTGACAGACGCGAATCGCGCTTTCCGCCCTGACGTCTCACTTTCTTGATTGTGTGGCTGTGTGAGTTATTCCATCGTGTCGTCATCAGCTCGTGTCTTTCTGTTCAGTCAGTTGAGGCGTCGCTCCGACGAGTCTCGCACGCTTACCAGTATACACGTTCCTCCCCCCCAGTGTACATCATCGAGTACTCTTTGTTTTGTTTGAAATAACATTTTGTGGAGAAATTTTAACACGAGTTGAGCGAATAGACGTCCCCTTGGCGTACGTATTTAGTTGTGCTGTGGAACAATAAAGTTTGAATATTTTTGGTTCGGTGATAGTTGAGTGACTTGTGGAAGAGGACGAGTGGAATTCTAGCATTTGGTGGAATATCTTGCTGTGTTTTGGTACGTATCATTTACTTTGAGATTCTTAATGGTTTGACATTTGATATACTTGAAAGTAAAATTGAAAACCGAAAAAGCCGGTACGCATTATATCCAGCATGGCCACAAAGGCGCATGTCTAGTTTACCAAGCCGATTCTACACGATGTTACGTTTATACATGCGCAACCGCACACATGCTTGGACGCGACTCAAAACGGCTACAACAATGAACGTAATTTTTTTCTTCAACCACTGAGCACGTTCACCTCACAGACAATATTTTTCACCTCCAACAATCTCTCGTTACATTCGATCATCATTCCTTTATTTAGAGGCTTATCTACTGATGAAAACGACTCGAGCATGATAAAAGGTGGAAATTTGGAGTGGCAAGGTCATGATCTAGTGTAAATGTTTGTCGTGTGTCTGTCAATGAATATCTCTCAATGCCGTGAAGAATATTTTCTCATCGCGATTATACTCCGATTGTTCCCCGTGGTTTTTCCCTGTTCGCTTGTTGTATCGGAATTTTTTTTCTCCCAGTTTTTTTCGGCTGAGAGCTATTTTGATGAGGCCACCAGACGTTGAGACCCTCTTATAATGTCGTTGCTCTTGTGCGGGGGCGACTAGGTGTGACTCCACGTAAATTTGCACAGCAGAAGCAACATACACATAATGTCGATAACAAACACGCTAGAAAAGGCGATTTCCAGCCTAGATTGACCGGTCGCGAGTTCCATAGAATCGATATTTCCACTCACACGCAAGCCTGTCAATTGTTCAGAATAGCCATGAACATCCGACTAAAGTTGACGTGTCATGACACGCAACTGATTCTCAGCAATTCCACAACTCCAAAATATCGACCAAAATTATGAAGTGGCGTGACGTATATTATTGTCACGCCACTGCTCAAACCACTTGCATTATTCTTCACGAAATTCTCCCCGTTGTATACTAGAATTTTCTACACCTGGACACGAAAAATTGTCGCCAGAGCCGTGATCCTTTGTGACAAGATTACCTAAGGCTGCGAAGAACAAGCCCTCGCAATTCTACCTTCAACCGGTTTTACCATTCTTTATTTCATCTTTGCTATACCCCAATCCCAACTCATTCCCCTAACCCTTTGTTCTTCCACGTACGTAGTTTGTTTTTATCCCTTCTAGATTTTTCTTTGCGTTACTGCGTAGTTCTTTCTTTATCCTCGAGCCAGAATGTTCCCCTGGAATACTTTCAAATAGGCCTCATCGATGTGTTTGTCTCGTCTCGCTCTCAATTTCTTTCGATTTTTTTTCCTTTATGAGAGAACCCACCGTCGAAGATGAGCTTAGGATCTAAAAATAATCCCTAATTTCACCACCCCCAGACGTGATTAAGGTGATTCAGATCGTTTATAGTCTCCCCAGCTAAATATCTCATCATCGTGTACCGGGAAAGAACACAAATTGGATGTGAAATTTATTGATTGCATTGGAATAACATTCAATTATATCTCCCACGTGGCGTCGATATCGGGAATTGTCACAGAGACCTTGCACAGAGTGCATTCTTCCCAGTATAGAATATCCAACTCGAGTTGTACACGAGATGAAGACGAAAGTACGCGAAATGAAAAGGTGAGAGGAGCAAAAAGTATACGAAGGTGAGGAGGAACGAAGGTTAGACATTAGGTTAGCCTTCGTTCGATAGCCGTCTGGTGTATGTGCGGGATATACCTGGTATCCCCACTATCCTCCTGAAACCTGCTCAAAGATGGGTTGTTAGGTCTTGGAAACCTTCCTTCGTAAAGTTGCCTGCAATTTCTCCCCTCCCAGCTCGTCTGCCCCTGGTTCCCTTCCCTTTCTGTTCGTTTCCCCTTGCCGCCCATCTGGCTGCCAATACAAGGCGAAAGTACGTGCCAACCACGTGGAGAGTCACTAGTTGCGCATTCTCAAGGTTAAACGTTTTGTACGTGTTGCTTTTTTGTGAAAACTTTTATTGATCCCTCACATCCGATAACATTTTTCAATGATACTTGCGCTAAGAGGATTGTCGATTTTTAGCACAAAGCATTACCACTGGTCAAGCAATTTCATCATTGTCACTATCAATTGTTAGGCAATTGAATAACTATTCTCCTCGAAAATACGTGCACGTTGTGGGATTACGATCTTCTGTCAGTAAAAATGAGGAATTCTCATTAGATTTTCCGGGGTGATGAAAATTCCCTGAAATTTTCCCCTGAAATGGAATTAAAGGTGTTGTTTGAATAAGGGCAGAGTGAGGATCAGGTGATTTGCCAAAATACAAACAATCGCATTTATGGGTCTTTAGAAAGTTGGCTGAATTTTTTTTCTTACGCGGTCATGGTCTGTCGACAGTGTCCCTCGTGTAGCCTTGAACGACTGAAACTTGTTTTCGTGAAGAACTCCACGGAACAGTCTATGTCGGAGGTTTGCCATCCGTGAATTTTTATTCTCCCGTGAATACAGAGGTTCGGATTATTCCCCTGTTAAGATCCACGTGCTATCCAGGCAATTTGAAGTGAATTTTCAACGGAAATGTCAGTCTCTGTTTACAGAGGATATAAAACTTAATTGTGACTCTTTATAACTGAAATAAATGATACTACTGAGAATAGGGGAAAATATATAACATGCAAGTATGACCGTTTGACGAGAAACATATTTCGCATTGGAGTGTTCAAAGAAAATGGTATTGCCTTTTCTTGGCTTCACTCTGGAGAACAAGGTCCCCTTTGTCATGGGATTTGCAGATACCTCAGGATTTTCTGAGACAAGCGCATCATCAATCCTCCGCAGGTGCTCTGGTCTCGGACAGCTGTCGGCACATCGAAGGTTCTCATCGACTATGTACACAGTAAAAGTTGAATTTTTCATTCTGAAAGATATTTTTCATTTCATTGGGAGGTCTGATTACTTGCCTCGACGCCATGTGCCTCCAGAACTACGAGAGATGAGATTTTCATTGCTTCCATTCTCTTCAAGTCTCTCAGATGTCATAAAAATGCGCGTATGCAAACAGAAGCAACCGGAAACGAGGAGGAACTCAAATAAACTCAGCAGTCACATCCATGCACCAATTTTTTTTCAAAACCGCTCGAATGCTTTGACTAAAAATTGCAAATTCCTCATCGATATCCCGATAAATGGGGTCTCATCGATTGATGGAATGAGAAAAGTATTTGGTAACCAGAAGGGAGTGTCACTTTATGGGGACCTCATGATGTCGCTTAATGGCTCTCACGTGAGGTTGATCGATCGATAATAATTATAGCCATGGGGAGGACAACTCTTTCATCCGCACCACTCACTCTCTCCCTCTCTTCCTCCGATGTTTTTTATATCCACGATATTTACGGAATTTTTGGGCTCGGACTACGATAATTTTTTATTCTATTTTTTTTGTTTTCATCGCCAATCGCACTCCACCCTTCTCCATAATATTACAAACTGTTTTATTTTTGGCAGCATGGTCGCAGTGTTCCTCAATCGGATCGAAGGTATATTTATATGGCCCCGGGACACACTAACACTCCTGGTCATAGAGTTCGGTTCGTTTTACGTCACACGCTCGAATATTTGTCGGAAATTTCATTCGAGTGATTGAATTTCAATCTTTCGCTCTCGTTTCTGTATCTACGCTTCACAAAGGCGTTTTTTTTTTATTTCCATTCTTCACTCATTCTCTTTTTTTCGCTTTTACATTCATGCACTCAAACGAATTGTTGAGAATACTTAGGGAGGCTACAGCGCATGCGTAGTGCAGAACAAAGAAGTTAGAGTAGGGGCGAAACACAAAACGAGAATAAGGGCCGGATTTGCACATTCCCACCTGCTCGAGAACAATGTGAGCTAAATTTTAGGACACCGTTTGAGAAAAAAAAAGTGAGAGTTGAGGAAGATGGAAAATTCGTACGAGAGTCAATCGGCAATGGAGTGTAATTGATCAGGAATCTCTCACTTTTTCCCCAGTGACCGAAGGCTAGCCGATTCAAGTTTCTGTCCTTCTTCGGGCAGACCTTGAAGCGTACAGTGACATGGTGGGAGATATGTCCATGTGTATGTTTACGTGTGTGTTTATGTGTTGGATAGCGCATGCGTGTCTCTGGAATCGCGTTTGCCTTTAATTTTCTTATTCAACTGCTTTAGAATGCTCCAACCAAATGGTATCTAAAAATTTACAGAATACAGCAACTGATCAACATTCATTGCTTGCCGGAAATTCTCATCAACAAACGGGTGAGGATTATTCACTCGACTACAGATAGTTTCGTCTTCATCAATAAATTCATGTTGTAAAACTAGTTGAGTCATTCGATTGATTCATTCACATATTTTGAAAAAGTTCTATACGACCATTTTCGACACTCACGATTGATGGAACTATTTTTACTATTGAATTTCACTATTCGGTGCGACAAGTAGGTCTACATTGTCTGTAGACTCTGCGTTTAATTACTCGTATCCGTCTTTTTTCATTGAGTTTAACAGCGGGAAAGTCAATCACTACTGGGGACTTGAGAATCACAGTGGTCAAGACATATGCCGAAGTAGATTTGAATTTGTTTATGATGATTTATTGTGTTCGGTGGCCGTTTGAATTGTCAGTGGGCTGATAACACAATTTTCCTGTTGTGCTGTGTTATCCTCAAAGAACGTGAATCATTCGATTGCGAATCAACCGGGAATGGCTCCACTGGGGGGTACTCCTGTTCAGTTTTGCGATTCCTTGCGCTTCAACGAATTCCTTATCCCTCGGACTTGCTCGGTACATAGTACGTATTTCATCCGTTGGGAATTCGGATGAGTACGAGGGCAAATGACTCCCATGGGTTTCATTCGGCCCGAGCCGTCGATATATTCGCGATCTCGCGAGAAGCCGAGATACGTTTTTACCATCACGTACATGTTTATTATACTGATTGACGTAAATACCAAACAATACATTCTCGGGAAAAAAAGACTTGAGGAAATGACATTGTCCGGGTTTTATTCAGTGATGAGCTCATATCTCTGTCTTTGATGGCTGACGTCTAGAGTAGAATGTATTCACTAAAATCAAATTACATAAATACACAGACGTCGTCATTAAGGACATACGAGTCTTTTGAATTTTTTAGTGTTGATGACATTTAAATTTTGTAAAAATAATGTTTTTCATTGAGATATTTGATGATTCAATGTTGGGTGATGCGAGTTGGATTATATTGGCCTCTGAGATATTTGGACTCTTTTAGGGGAGGCAAGATGAGGGGAAAATGGGAAGAAGGGCTTTGGTACTGGGTACGTCCTTTGTACCTAATACATATTACGTCCCAGCAGTATGCCAGTTGACATGGCAACATCGCTCGTCAATTGACAATTAGGTGATCATTCCCGACGGGGGCAATTGGACCCACGCTCTACTACTCAGGCGATTTCGTAGTTTCCTCACGTTTTCTACGAAATTACCCCGGTCACAGTGACACGCACGAAAATGACGAAGCAATTATCACCTGTGAATTCGTGAAACATGTTGTGTATTTGCTATTACTGTCGAAATTCACAATGAGCGGAAGAATTACTCTGATATTCATTGGTATCGATTTTTCTGTCTGAAGCTCCAGTGATGTCCTCCAAATCCTAAAAATTCGAAAATTCTAAAAAGAATTCTAGAATTCGTGGACTTTCGTGGAATTATTGAATTGAATTAGAAGTCGCTTTGCGGAAAAATTCACGGAGAATCCCGTAATAGTGCCGCAGTTTTTTACAATGTCACGTTAAAATTACACGAAACTCTCATAAAACTTCCAGTTAGTAATTTTTCTCCGCGCACAATTCGTTGGCAACATATTTTTCAGGTTCTTAAATATTGGTATTACTTTACTTTTCCTTCAGCTAACGACTTGTTTACTGAAGTTCTGAAACAACCTGCACTTGCTTCTTCTGTATTTTCCTTTCGAACTTTACTCCAAGTGATTTGGAACTTGAGAATGACACGGGGATAAATTTTTGTCGTGGGCTGTACTGAGATACGGATGTTGGGTGAGCCGCGTGTATAGTCTATAGTGGCAAAGCAACACGCACAGGCTCCAAACCCGCAATGGGTATACACGTTTCGCTCTTCAACAAGTGGTGGTTGGTTGGCGACTAAAGAGTAGAGAAAATGTATGAGAAGCGTGTAGAGAAAATGTATGAGTAGAATTTTCAAAACGTTCGGAGGAATCTAATGATCTCCTAATTACCGACCCGTAAGAACTCAGATTTCAAACCCGCGAAATAACCGCGAAATCACGGTGATTTCTCGTCTCACATCCAAGGTCAGGGTTTGGCTGACACGTGTATTATTATCGTTTGGTGATATTCACGCTTGCCTCGTGGCCATAACACGAGAACGAGATCCATTATCAATTGATCTTTTTACGATCGCTGAACACGAAACGTTACTCTCAATGGCAGATTCAATTTTCCTAATAAATCAATTGACTCGCTTGATTGTGTGAATTCGCTCGGTTAGCGGTGGTTGAGTAGATCAATGTTGATTAATTATTCTGGGGAGCGTCGCTGGGAAACTGGGGTATAAAATTCCTCTTTGGGGAATGGTGTTAGTGAAGAAGTGAAAAAAAAATATCGTTGCAACTCGGGGGAACCGGGGCTAGAACAAAGTTACCTGAGAATGGCGAATGGTTAACGAGACGCGAACTCATCGGACGGGACGCCAGGATGCGCCGATTGTAATTCAAATCGCGGCTCGGTATGTGGCCGCCGCCATGTACAGTCACTCTCGAGAATATTGTCTGCTTTTTTCATCCCAGTGGATCTCAAATGCGCTAGTCACTTCGACTCAATGTCATTCAAATTTCACCAGCTCTGAGTTTGCTATCAAATTTTTATTCATTTTTTTCGAAAAAAAAAGTTGTCTTCTCTAATAAATTTTGACGTCTGCCCTTTCTCGATTTTTCAAGCCGCTCGGACCTGATCGCATCCGATCATTGGAAAAAAATCTCACAATTTTGTCGGCAATCGCTTGACAGAATCCAGAATTCCTCTCGATCTATTTGAGGCTCACTTTACGTTTTCATTCGACAGCTATAAACTCCATGATGACGTCTGAGTTTTGAGAAATATCGTTGGACGTAAGGGAGATATTGAAATTTTAGTACTAATCTTTTTTGCATACCTTGATCAGCTGTTAAAAAAAGGTGGAGATAAGAATTTCGATATCGGCCCTCAATTGCAAGATAATTACTAAAGACTTGCGACCTGTGATAATCTACTTTTGTCTTGACGATTCGTTGCTGAATTTGATTTTCTAAATGCGTTTCAAAACTACGAGGTTCCCCGGAATGATATCAAATGTCCGAACGACACAAATATATACTCGCTGTGGATTATTTAATGGTGCAAATAACTTGAGGAACATGTATGATGCACCTAGAAAACTACAAAGTGGTTATCGTTCATGCTCTCTGTGATTCTCGTCTTCCGACAAACGTCGACATTACTATTTTTAGTATACCAGGGACACATTAAGTGCTGACAAAGTTATACAGCTGCCCCATTGATGTGAATTGATTTTATATTCGAGACACTCTTTTTTATATCAATTGCTCCTCTTTTTTATATGAGCTCTCTTCATTTTCTCCTGTACAGTGTACAATAAAAACGCCCTGGTGAGGTAATTTTTACTCAATTGAATCTAAAGACAAGCAGCTCTTTCAGACAAGCATCTCGTAAATTTATCGAGTGATAGAGTCACACCGACCAAGTGTCGAAGGTGTCGACGGGTCTCCAAATCCTAAATAACTGATCGTACCCACGGGAATGTCCCGTCTATAATGCAACTCACCTAAACTCTGTCTCTGTATTTTGTTCATCGCGCAGTCCCCGTTGTCTTCTGGGAAAACCATGAGAAATCTAGTTGGGATATATTCATGTATATACCACATATATATCTATATATATTATATATATGTATATATATATATAGGTAAGCCGTCCATGGCATTACGCATTTACAAAATGAAATTGAGTTCCTCAATCTGCAGCCCACGCCTTGCCAATGTTTTCTTTATAAGGTACCGCGTTTTACCCTCTCAAGTAATTCTTGGCCAGAAGTAATAAAAAAATCAGGCCTTGATGAATGTAGCCTCGTACATATTTAAACTTAACGTATCTCGGGCCATCAAGGGGTTGATAAGAACGAGAAATCATTATCTTTGTCTTTCTAAATGATTGATATCCTTGCTGGATTCCTGGAGAAATAAAAGGTTATGCTTTATAAGTAGTGAATCCTTACAAATGAGTCTGTCTGGAATGGGGCACTCCATTGACCTTGCTATGGGTTTTTTTCCAGTGGATGGGTGAAGCATCACCTCAGCATTGAAACACGAGGTTTTAATTAGACGAGCGCGTCTCTTTATCATCCAGACTCAGCTGCAAACCGTCGCAGCAGGGGTTGCAATATAACCCACCGTGGTTAGGGGGACACCCGTGGTATCATACATCCCCCTTCTATCTTTACCAAACATTGTTCATCCCCTGGGCGAGGTTAAATCCTCTATTCCCATGGTTTTCTTCATTCTCTACCAATTTCACCATTGCTCCCAACGCTTTTCGATATTTATACCCATCAATATTTTTTCAAATATCCGCCGATTCCCTGCGGTGAGTTTTTCGAAAGCTTTTGCAAAAAATTTTCAATCCAGCGTAATCTGCGTCTGCTATTTGATTATTTATAATTGTTAACGGTTTTTTTTCAGTTGGGATTTAGGTGAAAATTCATGCCGTGTAGAAAAGCGTAATCAGAGAAAATCGTAGTAGCAGAAACCGTAAAGACACTCAAGTTCCTATTTGAAAGTTGAATCTTAGGGTATTCGATCTAAGTGTTATAAAATTTGAGATTTCCCCGGAAAGTCGAAACTCTTCTTCAGGAAAATGTTTCTCAAAAGCTTCTCCAAAGCTTGTTTTACAAGCAACCCGTCTGTGATCCATTTATCCATTCTCTCTCACTCTTCCTTTTCCCACTCGCTACTCACAATTATTTCAATCACAATTTGCCACCGAGTGATGGAGAAATTTGACGCTCAGCGACAAGTTTGGGGCACTAAGTGATTGCAACCCCAGGCGATATTATTATCCGTTGATTTTAACGAACATCGTGCAAGCTCCCACTCAATTACTTTTAATTAAAATTCCAAATAGATTTTTCCCAGTGGTAAAAAAAACCACGAGAAAAAAAAACTGGAAGGGAGTTATGTACATATGTATGTGTTTCTTTTCGATTAGTGTAAAGAGCTGTACTCAGCGCTGTGGTTATGGGTCGTTAACGCTTTCTTGGTTGTACCAGGTGGAAATTCAACCTCGATTTTTGCCACTTTCAGACAGAGAATACAGTTGAGACGGTTTTTCCTTTTCTCGCCTTGTCCTAACGATTCACAAGTACCCACTGGTCCTTGTTCAATGACTTGTTGGTACCCCCAAAGTGTCGATCGTATTTTCTCGTAATG